GACAATTCTGGAGAAGTCGGGGACGGGGACGGGGAGAGTCCCCGAAAATGCCGTCGCTCGAAAATGGTCGGAGACGGGACGGGGATTTCGGCGACGAGGACTCCCCGCACAACACTAGTTTAGTGCTGTTATGTTCTATTTTGCTGGTTTAGGACAGGGTACGATAAAATTGTTTGTTTGGAACAGAGACATCACTAATGGACTTCTAACTGGAATTTGCTAATCGCGTTCTTAAACATTCACAAGAAAAAACAATCTCGTTTTTGTTTGTATTAAATTTTGCTGGAATCATCGTCTCGTCGCTTCGCTAAAATCATGAAATTAATATCAGTGCCACTCATATTCAACTGAATTGGTCCTGATCTAGGATAATTGGCTGATTCGTAACCGGCAACTGAATAATGACTCGGNNGAACGACGCTTTCACATGGGCCAGAGCCATGCGCAGTAGGCGTAGCCTCTGCCCAGGCATAGCCTCAGCCCAATCGTAGCCTCAACCTTAACCTAAGCCTGAGCTCGCTTGCTAGTCCCCCGTTGTAACATCGAGCAATCGTTGAACGTTCGTGAAGGCCAAAGTTACGCTTAGGCTGAGCCTACCCTTAGGCTAAGGCTATGCTTAGGTTGAGGCTACGCCTACTGTGCCTGGCCTCGATTCATGTGAGAGCGTCGTTCGTAATGTGTGTGAGCACATATGTACTGATGTGCGCGCGCGTGCGATTCCCATCCCCCCTCCCCAAAAGTAAACAAGTGCCGATGATCTTTTAAATAATCACCAGGCAATGACGAATCGGCTACGATTGTTCTACCATTAATCGATGCTATGGTTGAATTTTTAAAAAACTTCATCAAGAAAGAACATAGTCTATACATAGCGGAACCGAAGCCTGGCCACTCACAGTCAACTTCAACGCACCACCCATTAGGCTACGTCGCTGCAGTTCGAAAACTTCCAGACACCACTGATCTTTACCCATTCGTAACTCGTGTCCTCATGGCTTTTTTTTTGCTTATTCATGATGGCTGCTGAAGGAGCTCGATGTGACGATGATTCATGATCGGCTAGAGAAGCTCTATATAAATCGTCTCAAAAGACCAAGGTAAGTACGTGGCCTTTCCCTGTAAGGCATAGACTGATAACTCCACCCACATTGCCTTTAACATTGCACTCCAAATTTCATCAATTTTGAGGTGTTTCAATGTTGAGGTGTTTCAATGTTGAGGTGTTTCAATGTTGAGGTGTTTTAATGTTGAGGTGTTTCAATGTTGAGGTGTTTCAATGTTGAGGTGTTTCAATGTTGAGGTGTTTCAATGTTGAGGTGTTTCAATGTTGAGGTGTTTCAATGTTGAGGTGTTTCAATGTTGAGGTG